ATATATATATATATATATATATATTATACATATTTATTTTTTTATTTGAATTTTTTTTGTCTAAAAATCGTATCAAAGTAAATTTTTAATTTGATTAGCATTGTGAAAAGAATTTACACTAACAGTATATATTTATTATATCTTTTGTTTAATTTTATATAAAAAAACATTTATATCGTAAGTTGTCGGGTTAAAATATTGGTTTCTTATTTAGGGTAGAAGGTTAAATGGTTTGGGAGACTCGTAGTCGAAGAAATGGGTAGGTGGTGGTCTAGACACGTGTTGTTATTTGGAATTGAGTGTGCGAGAGAAAGCAATTAGAAGGGCATATTTGGTGGCGTCGGGGTCCAACCAATGTTACACTCACAATCACATACAATGCCAATGAAATCTTTCTTTCTCCAAATATTAATTCGTTTAACTTCTTCTGCTGAAGACTTTAGCTTTAATTTTTGAAACATAAGATTTTTAAAGAATCCTAAGAAACTAGTTTTTTAATAAATGTAATGCAGATAAAAATATTATTTTATATAATGATAATTTATAATATTTATATCCTCTTGGTCTCTAATTGGTCGAGCAGGCTGAAAAATACATATTTTTCTGGTTCTCATTTGACTGAGCAACCTGAGCTTTGGGCAAGTCATCAATGTATTAACAAGTGAATTTTGATAAAACTAATAAATGTTATGATTCTTGTGATTCTTGCACAGGTTTGATTATGATTATAAATGGAATTCATAGACTCATTTTAAAGAGGGATTTACACCTATTTCAAGGAATTATGATCAAAGATCTGTATCATGTATATGAGACCCATATAAATAAGGAGAAAGGAGATTGGTGAAAGATAGGTTTTTCTCATTCTTGAATTTTCTAGGTCAGGACAATGATTATGTTCTCTTAGAATTCATATTACTAAGAGTTCTCCGGCTGCTATCCTCTACTAGAACAATATTAAATACTTTTAAATATACAAATTATATATATTAGAATAATTAAAATTAGAGTGTTTTCAAGAAAGAGAGATGACGAGAGGTTTTAAAATTGAATTTTAATTTTTTAAAATCTTAATAGTTATTTTTTAATGTCAATATAAATTATTTATTACAAATTTAAAATATAATTTGTATTTTGAAAATATTTATTTATCATAAATTTCAGTTATATAAAATAAATCTAGTGACTACTAGTTATAATTAAAATGTCTAATAAATAAATATTTATGATAATAATTTATTTTATAATATGATTTTTAAACTATTGATAATTTAAAAATATTAAAATTTAATTTAAATAAATAAAAATAGTAAATTGAAAGAAATCAAAGGTTGAGATTTTTTTTTAAAACACTCCTCGAAACGTAATTTACAAAGAAAATTTCATTCGAAATAATTATTCTAATTTATAAAAAAAAATAAAGCATACAT